TCCTGCTGCCGACGAAACGGAGGAAAAGGTCCACAAATGCGGCACTTGCCAGGAGCCGGCAAAAAAGAAATGCGCCAACTGCAAGCTGGTTCATTATTGCTCCCGGTAGGTTTCACAATTGTCGCGCGAAAAAACTTCTCACAATTAACAAATGAGTTCCTTTTTTCCTATTCCAGAGAGTGCCAACTTAAGGATTGGCCGCAGCACAAGGACACGTGCATGGGCAAGGCTGTCTAGCATAACTGTTTTATCTGTTTACTTTGTATTGACGTTAATCACACTAAAGAACATTCCAAAAATTGACGTTCCGCTCTGTTTTTTACAAAATTTTTGTAGGTATTTTTTTCTTTATTTAGCAATTAAAAACTTGCCAGGTAGTCTCTCATTCAGCAGACAGGGGAACGGCTACGGCAACATGTTTAGCTGTTCTGTCTGAGATGGTCCTTAACTACATCCAATGCGGGCGTCTCCTCACCGTAATCCTTAATGACAACCACAGAGCAGCCGCACACCTTGCGTGGCTTGCCCTCCTTGTCGATCTTGCACAGACCAGACCACTCGCCCAGTTTCTTGTGCGAATCGACACGAATCAGCGGAATCTGATGCTCATTGCACAAGGCTGTGATCAGTTTCTTGTAGTTGGGCTCATCAAAGGATTCGGCCAGAATGCAGAGGACAGCTTGACGCCTATACAAAAAAAAAAATAAACGATTAGAATCAATTTTCTCCAAGCTTATGTTTACATTAATTGGCTTTGTACGGTTCTCAGTAATTGGAAAATTTGCGATCAATGTAAAATTCATAAACACGGACCAATTAATCTCATCAGCGTGTGCCAAAACAAAAGCCAAAGAATTTTAAGTTCATGATGTTGTTGCTTACTTGTCCAAAGCCTTGCAGGCCTGGTGGATGCCATGGACGAGTCCATCAGCGATCAGCGACTTCTTTAGAACTTCCTGTAGCGCGGTGTTTATGTCCATGGCGCCGCCAAGAACGGGCGCTGCGGAGGGCACATCTCTGCCGGGGGAAAAATCACTTGTTAGTCGAAATTACAAATGATCGTCACAGAATGACGAATTGAATAATATTTTAGCACTTTTAACTCAGTAATTGGAAGGTTTGAAATCAATATAAATTCATAAACACGGACCAATTAATTTCATCAATGTAAAATTGTTTAGTTAAAAGTCAAAGCATTTGCCACTTACACATCAACGTCGGCCATATCTGAAAGGTTGAGGCTGCACTGCACTGTAAATGATTATAATAAAACTATTATTAGATATGATGGCGCACATAATTGTAAATTAAATTCGTGGAGGCGGCTTCAGCACAAAATTAATATGCTATCGTACCTTTTTGACAACCGGAAAGAAAGAGAGCCAAGCTATGTTGCGGCCAACTTCATGTTTTTAAATCAGTGATGCTTTGAAACTTCGATATCAGCTGTACACACTAATACCATACAAAAGCTTGTTGCTCTATAACTCGTTTAGGTTATTCAATTTAAATAATTAAGACAAATTAAACTATTGATTCTTAAATTTTATATTTCACTTAACATTTTTAAATAAGTTCTCAAGAAATAAAAAATATATCAAATAGCTTAAGTCTAGTGGAAACGATGTAAGTTACAACTATCGTAGGCCATATGATTGGGTATTTTTTAGCACATTTTTAGCGGCTGTTCTCTGTGTCATTTTGCGCCCAAAATCTTAGGAGCCAAGCAGCTCCCGCAACTCGTCAAATACGCTAAAAATAGCTCGTAATAAGTCTAATTAAAATAAGTCATAGTTCATAGAGTGATACAAAGTCAATTTTAAGCTACAGCTTCTCAGTGCAATAACGTGTTTATGTTTACATAAGCAATCGGCAACAACCAAGACAACAACAACACCATCTAAAATGACAAGCAAGCTACAGTAAGTTGTGTGAAACGGTCCCGACTGCCCTCAGCCAACACCTTGTAGTTTATTAATGTCTACAAATGGCACCACGTGCTCGTATTGGTTCGTGCGTCTAATTGCCGAAATTTACAGCAACATGTGAAAATCGTGTGCCTTGCTGCTTGCTGCTCTGACCGACGCTATTGTGTATTTGTGTGTTGTTCCCTTATCTACGCTGAATTGGGTCTCCACTTTTGATATAATTGGCTGCAGGTCGTTCTATGAATGAGCTCCCGAAATTGTTGCTATAGAAATGCGATGCGCTGATAAGAAACATTCTTGTTGACAAATACAACAAAACGCACGGTAAACAACAGTGGCCACCAAAAAATTTAGTAGAGCTCAAGACGACGATATCGATACTTTGTGTTCAAACCGAGAATATCAAATTCCGGATGTACTTTAGGGTTTTAATAAATTGGTATTTTTATAAATAAGAAATGAATTGTTTTCGGTATATATTATATAAATATATGTAAAATTTTTAAAGTCTAATTCTATTGGGTATTTATTCAACATCTCTAGCAGTATGCACACTATTTTAGCCAGCACTGTAGCGCCTTTTTGGGGGCTATCGCTGCGGTTCATCGACAACTGATACTGATTAGAATTTGAGGCGGCACTCGTTGATGTTGGATTGCGGTTTCAATTGCTAATTAGGCGGCAAGCCCTCGACTGGAAAGCATGTGCGACACTAAGAGCAACTCAAGCAACGTGAGGTTGCGTATCGCTTAGGCGCTTAAGGGAACTTCTCCATTAATTTGAGGCTAATCGCTTGTCGCTTCTCTTTTCATTTGCAGAGAAGGCATCCTAGTCGGATGCGGTAATCCGTTGCTGGATATATCGGCGACCGTGCCTATGCATTTCCTGGAAAGATATGGCATGAAAGAGGATGATGCCATACTGGCCGAGGAACGACATATGCCCATCTACCGTGAACTGGCCGAGGACTATCAGGCAGAGTATCTGGCCGGTGGTTCGGTCCAAAATTCATTGCGCATAGCCCAATGGATAATTGGACAGCCCAATGTCGCCGTCTTCTTTGGCTGTGTGGGCAAGGATAAGTTTGCGGACATATTGCGGGAGAAGGCACGCGCCGCCGGTGTTGATGCACATTATCAGGTGAGCGAAGACACGCCCACGGGCACTTGTGCTGTGCTCATCACGGGCACGCATCGCTCTCTCTGCGCTAACCTGGCGGCAGCCAACAAATTCACCATCGACCATCTGGAGGAACCGGAGAACAGGCATCGTATAGAGAATGCTTTATACTATTATATTTCGGTAAGTATAGAAGACACAGCAACTGCGGATGTTGTTGCATTCCTGCTGGCATAACGGGGTTTTAAAATATTTTGTGATCTTCTGCATGCAGGGCTTCTTTTGACCGTTAATCCACCCAGCATAATGCGTGTGGCCGCCACCGCCCATGCCAAGCAGCGACCGTTCCTAATGAACCTCAGCGCACCATTCATATCGCAATATTTCATGACACCGCTGCTGGATGTTATGCCCTATGTTGATATCATTTTTGGCAACGAGGCGGAGGCGCACGCCTTTGCCACTGCGCAAGGTTGGCCCGCCGACAATGATCTGCGTGAGATTGGCAAGCGCCTGGTCGCGCTGAATAAACTCAATACGGGGCGACCCACGCATTGCCATACTCACGCAGGGCTGTGACCCCGTGCTGCTTATACAGCACGATTCGGTCCAGGAGTTTCCAGTGACACGTTTGACGGTGGATGAAATTGTAGATACCAATGGCGCTGGGGATGCATTCGTTGGTGGTTTCCTGTCGCAGTTTGTGCAGGGCAAATCGCTGGATGTGTGCATACGCTGTGGCAACTATGCGGCGGGTCATATTATCAAGAATCCAGGCTGCACGTATTCCGGTTCGCCGGAATTTGTTGAATAATCATCCAGAGGAAATATCCACCCATACAAACACACACCCACACACACACACACACAAAAAAACTACACACACAACACAATGAACCGACAAACCTATAAGAGGCATAAGCATTGCGCAAATAGTTTTGCAACTACTGCAAATAAGTTCGAAAAGTGACTAAGACAATTTTGTTAACACTACTAATAATTATTTGTACATATAATCTAAACTCACACACACACACATAAACACACACACACACACAGTTGGCAACGAAGATGTGAGTTATGCACGGCCTTGTGGTTTATATACAATGTTAGAGCAATATTCGAATTTAAATTGATAATAAAATACAAAACCCACAAAAACATTCAAATTTGAAAAAGCGCTATTATGTTTGACTCTTAATAGATAGTTGTTTGACCTAGAAATGCCCCTTCGTAAACTAATTGATAGCAATTGTATGATTTATTCATTTAGCCAAGTGTTCGGCTCCGACTGTGCCGCAGTAAAAGATTAGGCATTTGCTACTGCTAACTTTCTTCCAAACACATTTGTGCGCTTTATGATTTGAGCTACTTAACATTTGAGTCAGCTATAAGATTAGTTAGGAAAAATTACAGCATTGACCCTTGAGGTGCTTGATTACACGCAGGTGTCATTCTTTTATTATTACTGTGATATATCACATCGTATCTGAGGTTGATTTATGTCTCTTAAGCATTCTTTGCAATCTGTGTTGATAAGCTTGTGTCTTATCTGTGATGCATTGAAATAATATATGATTTACCATATCATAATAGCAGGGATTATAAGGCCACGCAATGGCAGCTACAAAGCACATTTCATTTACAAATTATACTTTACAGCTTTCGGTTGACTTATTTTTAGCTGACAAAGAGCCGACAAATTATTCACATACTGTATTTACTTATAGAGACGCTTCTGAATTTATTTCGTTGTTGAGAAATACTAATAATATAACATTTAAAAATCGTATATTACCTAGCTGAAAAACAATACGAATAGTGTAGATAATAACAGAAAATGTTCTTCACTATTTCTATGGTTCTTGTGTGCACAAACTTGAGTTTTGTATGGTTTGCCCATACAAAAGTATAGGAGACTGAGGGAAAACTATAGCTACATTTGTTGTTTGCTTACATTTGCATTTGTGTGGCTGACATACTTGATCCCCATATGGCTGCTATTCAATCAGATAGCCTTTGATAAAGGGCAGGCCCGTTGGCACTCGCTTCTGATAGCGCGCATAGTCCGATTGAAAGAAATAAAGCAGCGAGTATTCCTCAACGTAAATGCGATCGTGAAAGAATAGCCAGCTGACTAGAGCATAAATGCAAATACACAGCGGATTCATCAGTATTACTTGGGTGCCAATGGACCAATAGAACCAGCCCACATACGACGGATGGCGACTGTAGGCGTATAATCCATGGGTTATTAGCTTGTGATCCGTGTGCTTTTCGTCCTGCACCTGTTGTAATTTATATTCATGTACAAATATACTTGGACCAATTCAGATATATATATTTACTAAATGCGTAAGCTGCGCCCTGCAGTGATGATGGCAACCTTTCGCACAATTTCGCCGAAGGCGCATAATGTCACGCCTAGCAGCCACAAATAGGCCCAACGCTTGAATTCGGGCAAAAAATATAGCTCTAGGACAAACTCTATCCAACTGGCTGCTGCTGCCGCCAGGCCATAGTGCACCGAATGATTCAGCATGAAGGAGTCCAGTGAGAGTGTGCGTGGATTTGCAAATGCAATAACCAGAAACTCAGAGTAATGGAAGAAGGACATGAAGCAGCCATATACGCCGAACTGCTGCCAAGGTACGGGCGCAAAACAAATGACTAGAACGCTCGCCGCCATGGTAAAGCCAGAAAAGAGGCGCGAATGGCAACCTTAGAGATAACAATTACCAAGTTAGAGATACTGGGGCACTTGTAGAATGAGTCATCCCATACCTGATATTCCATGTCTGAGCACAAAACGTATTATCATGTTGATGAGGGCGTAGTACAGCATCGGTCCCCACAGGACGGCGCCCCAGACATTTGGCACAATCCCATAGTATATCTGAGGAACTGAGGGCAACAAGCACCAGACCTGCCGTGGCCAGAAAGCAATACAAACTGATCCGGGCCCTCGGAGCAGAGTTTGGCGTGGGGGCCTGTCGTTGCTGAGGGCCGTGAATTATTTGCGCACATTATGACTAAATCACAAAGCTTTTTATGTTGTACTTGGCATGAAACACATTAAAATTCGGATTTTGTATAGCATTTGCAGAAATGTAAATAAATAGCTCAAAACCGGCAGCGGCTGTGTATGTCAATAGCAAGTGTTTCTGAATTTAGAAGGTTACAGTGCAAAGTGCACTGTTCTGTGCAGCTACGTCAGAATATATTCAACATTATAAGCCCAAAGTCATACTACATTCAATGAACGGTAAATGGGTAACATGTTGCTTGCAGTTTTTATCATTTATTATCATTTACGTTAGCCGTCCTATAGTCGAAGAATTTTGTGTAAACAGGAAAAACATTCACCTTCGATATAACTTGTTGTCTGTCATTTGCAAATGTGGCGTTACCTTCCCAGATTTATGAATCTCCTCGCTATCCCCAAAGTAATCGATAGTTGACCGAGCGATGTATAAAATTTACCGATAGTCAGCTGCGCGTGCACACATGAGATTCGATAGGCTGGTCTGTGAGGGTTATGTAAATTAATAAATTGTTAATTAAATCCTTAACAATTGCTATACATATTAACAAAAAGAGTGTACTATGGTGTTTATAAGCATCCCCCTGATGGTGCGCGCCCGCGGCCCGGATGAGTTCTGGCGCAAAAGGCGTATTTTCAAACTCGCTGCGGTAAGTACCAAAAACAGAAGCTCATGAAATTATTTTGACCGGTAATTAAATTGTTTCAGCATTATCGCCGCCGTACGCGTAATGTTTATTCTTTTGCCATACGCAGCGTTCATCGTGCACTCGCATACGCCACCAAGGGCCGCAAGCTCAAGAAACTGGACATGGCTCAGCTGTGGACAACCCGCGTTGAAGCCGGCTGCCAGCAGTATGGAGTCGCCTTGGACACATTCAAGGAGGGCCTCGCACGCTCTGATATTTTGCTGAACAAGTTAGTTGGCGGCATATACACTTAATGGCTGTATATTAACAGATTTTCTTTATAGAAAAATGCTCTCCGATTTGGCTATTTGGGAGCCACGCTCGTTTGAAGCTTTGGTAAACATTTCCAGAGAACGGGCTGCTGTGGAGGGTCTGCCGGACATTAAGCGAAGGTCGGCCTTCAATCAGGTGTATGGGCTGAGTAATCTAAAGCTCGATTAGGCTAAGTAGTGTTTGCATACAAATATAGTTTTATATATTAACTGAAGATTCATGGTTTTATTTTTGTGTCATGCAATCAAAAAACATTGCACTAAACGTTTATTGTAGGGGGGTTACGCACTAATAGGAAAACAGAATTCATAGAATTATTGGTAGCCATTTATTCTAATTTGGCCAAGATATCCGACTCGCGGAAAAAGGAAACAGCTCTTTCTTTTCATCACTATCCAATTGGACATGGTACCGCCCAAATTCAGGCAGCAGAGAACGCGATCGCCCTCCTTTACACCAATTGGAATATGACTGCCAGTTGTCTAGAAAATGAAAATAGATTCAATCAATATTATGTGACTAGTTTAATAGAATGTTGTAATTGCCGCGCGCAATTATGAAATACTTACAGCATTGCGAGTTCCGGGTCCCACCGCCACAACAGTGCCTTCCAGCACTTTACCCACCGATTTTTCTGGCAAGACAATGCCACCTTTCGTTTTGGTAAGGGCTTCAGCGCGTTGCACCAAAATGCGGTCAAGCATGGGGATGATCTTCTTAATAGCGGCAGCCTATATACAATTGCGAATCATTCGATTTTAATAAGCAATTTACTGTCATTAATTTCACATATTATATTCCCCCCCGCCTATGGGCTAGGGCAGAGTTACACAACAGCCCGGCACGGTGAGTTATCAGCGTATGCAGAAACTTCGAGAAGCTCAAGTGAAATTCTTTGAACGCCACATGCGACTTAAGGGTTTTTAAATAACTCAATACTGTACTTACCATTTTTATGTAATTAAATGCAAACTGGAGCGCTTCGAACAGCTAAATCTTAATTAATAAATGAAAGTGAAGTCTCACTACACGTGCGGGCCGGTCGCAGTTGTTCGTAATAGTGATGCACAACCATCGTACAATTGGTATCGATGCTATTCTCTATATACGATGTATCGTACTATCGGAAAAAGCATTTACTCGACGTTTTGAAAAGAAACCCGTTGACATTTAGACACATAGAAGGAGGAATGCAATAAACTTTTACGAGTTGAATAGAATTCATACACTGGTCACAAAGTAAGATAAGCATATTGGCACTGTCCATGCACGCGAACGTTATTCGTTGATGAAACTAGGACTCCAAATGTATTAGTATTAACGTTTTTTTTTCTTGGTGTCGGCCTGCAAAAAAAAATCGACTTTGGACGAGTTGTCTATTATTTTTATTTTTATTTATAAAAATATGAATTTTAACGTGCAATTGTACTGGATGTCATATCTATATGTTGTATGGTTAGTGATTTAAACACAGGAACCCCCGAAAAAGAGATTATTTTGAAAGCTTTAAAGTAACTGTTTTGTGTTGCAGTCGGAAAGCCATTAAAACAATAATTAAAGAAATCTACATTGAGAGCAGAGTATTACGATGTCGAATGCACCAGAATGCAACGATACAACAAAGAAATGGAGTACAATGTATAAGATTGTAAGGGAATTGAAAATGCAAAAAGGAGACGTAAGGAATGTGTTCAGCATGCGCGTTTCATTTCAACATTAATATTAAGGAATTGCAGTTAGTCCACTGATGTTGATATTTTGTAGTATGGATCTATGCATTCGAAGCCAGTTTTGCTACCAGGTCTCATGTTCAGTGCCACCTCGTCCGATTTCTTTTGCTTGTTAAACTCGCAGCTGAATTTTTCCGACATTTGTTGCAAATCGCTACAAATATTTCCGTAGATAAGCGTATCGTGTAACTTATGTTGTAATATGGCAAGTTTTCCCAGGTATTGGATCTGACCTCTGGATAAAGGGCGTGCGGTGAAGTTACGCAGCGATTCGCTGGCCTGCAGTAATAGTAAGATATCATTTCAGAGCTATGCAGAGAATATGGGCTTTCTTACACTAGTTATCTCGTCGCAGGTCAGCTCGGACAGCGGTAGCTCGAAAATTAACGAAATGGCGTCCTGCAACGTGCAATTACAACGATCCTGTCGAGCTACGCACAACGCGACGAACGTGTCGCAAATTCCATTTATTCTTAGCTTGTGCTGATGGAACAGCAAATCACATATTCGATGGCTGTAGTGCATTATCTTTCTAGGATACTCCGCCTCCAGCAGCACAGATAGTTCCCGGAAAATGACTCCCAGCGCTTTCAGATCAAACACATACGTATTATTCGCGGTGGCAATAACCATGACGGATGTTATGCAATGCCGCCCATAGAAACTTGGCTCCACCAGCACCGAGATGATGGCTTGGTCGCGTATGTCGCTCAACGCCCTATGGTATGACTGATCCGTT